ATAATAAAAAAATTACAAGAACATCTGCTGGAAGCCAGGTACAACATCCCTTCAAAAGGATGAGTCTAGAAAGACACCAATGCTTCCCTCTCTTAGGCCAAGGAACGCTTTGGGTCAAGATCTTGACCGTTTGTCGTTCACCCAGTTCCAGGACCTGTTCCAGTCAGACCTATTCTGCGTGGATCTGCTCAACAAACCACCTTGTTGAGCATATATTTTGTTATTGGGCATTCCAATGAGAACGCCTTTCGTCATTTGCTTGTCACTTCTTCCCAGGAGTTTGCTCCTCCAGGATTGTTTGCCGCCTCATTTTCCGAACCATGTCTGTCGGCAATCACTTGATTTTGCCGATTTTTCCGTGTTTGCTTTTGCCGAGAATTATATGGGCAATCACTTGATTTGGCCCGATTCTTCAGTTGTCAACCCAACAGTTCTATCATATAGTGTCTCAGCAAGTGATTCTCCAGCTAGCTGAGCCAGCAAGCCCCCGGCTGTCTGATTAAGATTTGTAAACTCTAGGCTGAAGAATGCATGAGCTAAGTCTGTAGGAAGTTGAATGCTCATCTCGAACCGTGGATTGGGAGTAGATCTCGATGGTCCAGGATTGAGGTCAGGCAGAGATATGAGGATGGCCCAGGCAGGCTACTTGCCAAGAGACATTTCTCTTTCTTCTTCCTGCTGGAGTTGTAACGTCAGCTGAGAAGAGGTATTAGATCGTGTCCATACCTGACGGCATAACTGAAAAGAGCAGTGCACGGTGGTGGCGTAGAGGTGTTTACCACATTGGCAACAGCAAGCAAGAAAAGTAAATGGAAAGGATCTAGGAGGGAAGTAGGGTGCAGCACAACTCCGTAGCCCATACTTGTTTGAGGGACAGTGTCATAGCTGCACTGCTGGGAGACCTCACCGTCACTGTTTTGCATCGCCACAGCAGCTGTACCCACTGCCTTGCATGGAAATTACAATAAAATTGTGCTGGGACTCTGTGGGTGACAAGTGACGGTATACTTGCCTTGTGGCTGAATGGTAGACACGTAAATGTTGATGAAGTGACACACACAGATCTGAGTTTGAACTTTGAATCCCAATGAATACAATAATTCAGAGGCTGGCCCTTCAAAAAAAAGAAAAACAGAAAAGAAAAAGGAAAGATAACTAACTGATTGAGGACACTTGCCCAAGGAATTACTTTAAGTTTCAACTTTTAACAGATTACAGGTTTTTGACAGACATAGGTGTAGTGCCTATGCATTACCCTTTGCAACCTTCCTCTGCGCGGGGAAAGGAGTGATCATATCTCACCTCCAATGGATTAAAAGATGCTCCAGTGCTGTATAATAGCTCCACTCGGAAACGCCTAGAATCGGATATGGGGACCTGCCTCACATTCAACCAGAACCAAGTGGCCTGATAAGTTCTCCTCCTGCTTGTCCTGCCCCCCCCCCCCCCCCCCCCCCCCCCCCCCCCCCCCTGTTTTTTTTCTTCTTCTTCTTCTTCTTCTTCTTCTTCTTCTGCTTCTTCTTCCTCTTCTTCTTCTTCTTCTCCTTCTTTACATTTGAAAATGAGAGGCAGGATGGGATTTGAGGCATGGGACACTGGATCATTCCGGGTTGAGATGTGGAGAGATTCCCGGCCTCCTTTTGCACTGATATTAAAGCAATGTGTTTAAAAATAAAAATAAAAATAAATGAGAGGCAGGAGAATGTCAACTGGTTAGTAGATTATTACTAGATTGTATGGCAAAGATTCACTGAGGTTTTCTCCCTACCAGGGTTCCTTTTTTACCCACCGCCCTCATGGTGACTATATCGGATTGTACCATACTTGCGGCGCACCGACCCTGTGCGCTGCGCGGTGCGCCGCGCGCTGTGCGGTGTGCGGACCCGAGGTGCGCGCGCACCCGGGTGCGCAGTGCGCTGCGCTCAGGGCCGGTGCGCTGCGCGCTGGTGCGCTGGGGGGTGCGCGCTGGCGGGGCGCAGGTGCGCCGGGTGCGCACACCATTTTATTTTATTTTTTTTTTTACTGTTTGTTTAGGGATTTATTTTACTGTTTTTTTTATTTT